ACGCCGCATAAGTTCCGATTTGGACTGCTTTGGGTAAAGAACTGATGGTTCAAAACCCTGCAAATTTCATCAATAACAAAACAACTACCTTCTTAAATATCAGCCACCATTAAAGAAAAGACGTGTGCCAGAAGTTAGCGATGTTAAAATTTCCGAGAAAACTGAATTTGTTTGGAGAGAGAGATTCGAAAAAGCCAGCCATGCCACCCTAGTCCATTTTTCCTTCCAAATTATTTATGCTCTAGCTCTCTGCGACCAGTTTACTTTTTCTGCCTTTTTCTAAATAAATTTTAGGATATATACCAAGTTTACTTACATATGTATTTATTTACATACATTTGAATTTAAAATTTCCTTTTATAAAAGCCGTATCAATGCCAATAATTGACATTTCTCCAATTTCTTAAATGCTATCTGGTCAGTCTGTGCTCTTACTTTTCATTATTTTTCAAATTTACCCCCTTTTTACCGTTTAAAATCATAGCCTTCTTCCTTATAAAATTTTATTCCATTTCATGTGTTCTATCAACACCGCAATCGTTGAGCTGACGAGATCAAGTTGTAGTGCTAAATAAGAATGTATATGACTTAATGAACCGAAAAGTTGCTGTTCATCTAATTTTTTGGGTTATAATTCAGTTTTTTACATATTAACATCTCTTTCATGGTGCTCTTAAAAATTTATAACCTATTTATAATGTCTTTGAAGCAAAAGTCATTTATTTTAAACTTACAAGAAGTTTGAGGTGACGAGCGCAAACTAAACCATCGCCGCCATTATTACCTGGCCCCGAAAGCACCAGTACTTTCCCCCTGTCGTAACTGCGTGCCACCGCATGAGCACAGCTCAAACCAGCAAGTTCCATCAGCTGATCCACACTGAACGCATAATCATTGAAAAGCTCCTGGTCCACGGCAATCGCATCGTTTTGGCTGAAATAATGCGAACACGAAATGAACACAGTGAACGGTTTTAATCAAGTGATCAAAGAAGTGGAAATGTTATAAAGAGGCCGAGGAACGATGATTTTAAATCCAAAAGGACTAGATTCACTAAAGTTCTTGAACGGAAATTACTGGCCTGGAAATGCGTTTTTGTACTAAAATCACAGATCGCTAGTAGCATGAATGATCCCTACGCTGTAGCCTAGCAATTGTGCTTATACTGGCCCTGCTCTGGCCTGTTTCGGCATGCCGGAGAAAGGGCATCGGTGCAATAGCTGTTAATTCATGGTGCGGTTCTCGATTTATGCAGCTGGCAAAATCTTCCAGCTTTTCTGACCGGTAATGCATCGCTTGGTCGGCTCGCTGCCAAATTTGACGTTTGTTCTGCTGTAGATGGGATTACCAGATCAGTGGATGCTCCGATAAATGAACTTCACAAGTTTTTAGCCATTTTGAAGATTAAGCATCAAATCCTCATCTCGAATGTTACCACCCCAAATCACTTTCAGTGTGGATGAATCGATGGAATTGATTCATTCTTCTAAACAGAAAAGTATCAGGCAAT